CCCCCCCCCCCCCCCTCTCTGTCTGAGACAAGGCACTTGATGATATCGTTTTTTTTCTTTTTTGGAGAGGGGGGAGTGCGGGGCAGAACTTCAGTACGTAGATATCGTTCCAGCTTCCTTCCCGCCACGAAATTGAAAAAGTAAATGTTAACCTCGATTCGTTCGTTCATTGACACTCCTGCACAGATTTATATGAAACCGTATTGCCTGCCTCAAGGGAATCATCCTTCCCAGCAACCATTGCAACACTCACACAAGCCACTTTCTCCAGCCTTTTTCGCATTGAACAACTGGTAAGGACTGGGAACGACCGTGCAAGATCGCAAGAGTGTGTTAAGAGTGTGTAGACATGCAGTGCGATCGATTTGGACGTTCAAACTGACCGAGAGTTGGAGCGAGTCCAAAAAAAAATGATTCCAAGGGAGAGGTTGACAAAAAATGCCTGCCCTGCAGGCTATGAATAAGGAAAAAAACTTCTTTAATTAAGGGATATTCTGATGTTTTATATTTTAAAAGTGAACCTACTTTTGGAATAACTTTGAGATAGTCCCCTTGATCTATTGTGGTTTTCACTACGCAATTGCATGCGGAAATATCGCGCAAAAAAAGTGTAGTACACATTAAGATTATTCCGAAAGCTAATTAAGTTTTTGCTCGTTTATTCGATCAGTCCTAATTAACTTCCAGCGAAAATAAGGTATTTTAAGCAGGAGGTTAATACTTAAATATCAATGATTAAGGAAACCTTACCATAGCTCTTATCACCTTTCCACCGATTGTCACAGTCACTGCAATGTAGTGAGAGCAGAACATTGATGTCGGATTATTCCTCGTGAAAGAAGAAAGCAAAGACGTTTTTCCGACTCCTCCGTCACCAACTACAACTATCTTGTACAGGTAATCATATTGATCTTTTTTACCCTTGGCCATGACGATAGAAAGAGAAAGATTTCCGCACACAGCAATAAGGTCAGTGAACTAAATGGATGATGCGGAAATTCTTTAGATCTTTGCCACTACTAACGCGAGTTCTCATTGGCTATCAGCGAGTAGTATTGATTTAGTTTCCATCTACTGTAATGGCTGACGAGGGAACAGGACGTTTGGCGGGCGCGTTTTAAGGTTTGTAACTGTTGTAGGGATTGTTGATAGTCAATATTGCAGCAGGAATTCCTTAACTACAGCCTAACAATGTATGAAACAACAGTGATGTTGGCAAGTAAAGTAAAAGAAACTACTTTTCCAGTGGTGTTTTTAAATTCATTCCTCTGCCTCAGGCCAAACTTACTATCACATTATATCGTTTACTTTAGCAGCTTTTGTTCTTCACTA